TCCTTCTGATGCACACAGCGTCTCCGTGACTCAGCACCAACTGAATGACAACGGCCAGCAGCAGCAGCAGCAGCAGCATCAGTTGAGTTGGAAAGAACGGGCTTCATTTCTAAGCGAGAACCAGTTGTACTGTTGGGGGAGGTTTTGTTAGTAACACTAGTTACTCTTAAAGCAGGTGTTGTATTATTACCCATTGAGGCTCTAGGGCACAAAGTCCAGTGGGTATTATCTAAGGTAAAGATACCATAAATGCGGAACTAGAAATGGACATTAAATAATATTAAGTACCATACTAATGATTTAACTTTATGTGGAAAATGATAGTGTGGTGAGAATCACTAGGTTAGGTTGAGACCTGTGTGTTAGTCCGGGTAGACTACAGAAACAAATCCAGGAAAACTCATATGTGTATAAGAGAGAGTTTCATATAAAGGGTAATTGTACATTACGAAAGCATCCCAACCCAGTCCAGTCCAAACTCATAAGTCTGATATTAACCCATTTGTCTGATACCAATCTATAAAGTCCTCTGCGGACTCACGAAACACATGCAATGATGCCAAATGCAGGATGATAACAGGCCAGTAGGTAGAAAGTTTGGATCCAGTGGTGTTGTAAGCATCTCAGAGGTCTGGTTGCATCAGGGTAACTCTCTGGTTTCTCCAGGGTTGCCCTTCTATTTTGGAGGATTAACAGTGAAGGGATGGAGTCTAGTCTGTCAATCAGGTCATAGCCAATGAGGCCTCTGTGTGGGCATGGCCTTCCCCTGAGGATTCTGGGAATTCCTGTATTTTCCTCCTTGAAGGCGGAAGACACACTTTCTCTCTGCTCCCTCCCTGAGAGACGCTGTACTGACAAGACACATGGCACTATGCTGATAGACCCCATGTCCTGGAAACTGGAGGAGCCACATGGAGACTCCTGCCAGCGCTGAGATCCTTCTACCACCACTGGATCTGCAAGACTTCCCTCCAACTGGCCTGTGATCTTCCTGCGTTTGGCATCATTGCATGTGTTTCAAGAGTCTGAAGAGGACTATATAAATTGGCATCGGACATATGGGCTAATATCGGACTTATGAACTTGATCTGGACTGGGCTGGGATGTTTTCTCAATATTCAATTACTCTTGTAAATAAAACTCTTTCTTATACACATATGTGTGTCCATGAATTTGTTTCTCTAGTCCACCCGGACACACACGTAACTTAGGTAGAGGTGTACAGAACAGACCCTTGCTTTGTAATCAGCAGTTCAAACACATTCTGATCCAATTCACTGTTGGCAAGCCCTTCAGTGCACCATCACGTAGCCCATTTCCTCCCTGCTTTTCCCATGTCTATTCCTCCTTCTTTCCTAACACTCTTAACTTGGTCCTTCAGTAAACGCTGCCCTTTTAATCTTCAATGGTTGATTAGTCTAACAATGATGACAATTCAGTTCTAGTAACGAAGGGTAAGGGCCATAGTCTTGGGGGTCCCACCAGTCTCTTTCCAGCCAATCAAACTGGTCTCGTTCACGATTTTGCATTCTGTTCCACGTTTCCTCCCACTCATCCAGGACCTCCTACTGTGATCTTTTCTCGGAGCAGTTGGCAGTGTCGTTGGGCACCATCTAGTTCTTCTTGTCTCAGGGTTGTGGAGACTGTTCACGTGGTCCATTCGTCCACTGGGCTAATTTTTTCCAAGTCTTTAGATTTTCATCACTTTTCTTTCCACTGGATAGGGAAGACCAATCAGTGCCCCTTCGATGGCTGCTCATGAGCTTTTAAAACCCCATCCACTTCCCTACTCATCAAAGTGAGATGTAAAACATCCACTTTAATGGCTTTTTATGACCCCAAGGGAGGGCTCTCTTCACTGTCAACAACTGGCTGAGCAGCCTGTCACTGCCGCCTATTTTGCAAGGAGACTTCCTCCCAACTGTTTGTCAGTGTGGGGAAAGTTCATTCTTCTCCTTCCAGCTCTGATGCTCAGGGAAAGTCTGTTTACTCGTTGGATTTCCCTGGGCAGTATTTATTTAAAAAAAAAAAAAAAAGCCCTTTCCGAATCTACTCTCTCTTCTGAGAATGCAAAATAATCTATTTAAACAGAGGCATCACCTGATTTATAAAGCCTTAGTGATGTTTCTACAATGTATTTCCACTATTGTTTGGAAAGAATAGACCAACCGAAGTACAGCATTGTAATAGAATACTGCTGATCACAAAGAAGGAATCAGCTATTGATGCAGGCAGCATCACGAAGACATCATAAAAGCATTTTGCAACGTGAAAGAAAAAAACAGTTGTCATATAATGGATTCTGACTGGTGACAACCCCAGCTGTGTCAGATTAGAACTATGGTCCCAAAGGTTTTCAGTGATTGATTTTTCATAAATAGAGCAACAGGACTATCTTCTCTCTCTCTCTTTTTTTTTTTTTTTGCCTGTTTTTATTTTATTTCATTTTAAATCATTTTATTAGGAGCACATACAACTCTTATCACAATCCATACACACATCAATTGTGTAAAGCACATTTGTACATTCATTGCCCTCATCATTCTCAAAACATTTGCTCTCCACTTAAGCCCCTGTCATCAGCTCCTCATTTTCCCCCTCCCTTCCTGCTCTCCCCTCCTTCCTGAACCCTTGATAATTTATGAATTATTATTTTGTTGTATCTTACACTGTCCGGCATCTCCCTTCACCCACTTTTCTGTAGTCCGTCCTCCAGGGGGGAGGTTATATATAGATCCTTGTAATCGGTTTCCCCTCTCCACCTCACCCTCCCTCCACCGCCCTTACCCCCGGCATCGCCACCCTCCCCACTGGTCCTGAAGGGATCATCCACCCTGGATTCCCTGTATTTCCAGTTCCTATCTGTACCAGTGTACATCCTCTGGTCTAGCCAGATTTGTAAGGTAGAACTGGGATCATGATAGTGGGGGCGGGGCGAGGGGAGGAAGCATTTAGGAACTAGAGGAAAGTTGTATGTTTCATCATTGCTACACTGCACCCTGACTGGCTCATCTCCTCCCCATGACCCTTCCGTAAGGGGATGTAGGACTATCTTCTGAGGTGCCTCTAGATGGACACACATCTTTAACGTCTCAGTTAGCAGTCAGATGTACAGACTTCTACGGACTTTTGGTCAGTTGTCTGTGGAAGGGGAGACTGGGCTTGTCTTATCTCTCCCTCAACTCATCCTTCTGGTCTTGGGAAAATCACAACTCCCCTGAGCCCCATGATTTATTTACTAACATTAAGTGAGATATTGAATGAAATGATCTCTTTATTGTTCCTTCTAGCTCAAATGCTTAATCTTTTTTATATATTAATGAGGGGGGGAGTGCAATGTTAATCAAACCCAACCCATTCCCCTCGTGCATTACAGACACACTCACTGCCATCCGGTCAGTTGTGACTCATAGAGACCCTGCAGGGCAGCGTAGAACTGCCCTGTGCATTTCTGAGAGGCTAACTCTTGATGAGCGTAGAGACAGACCTTGCAGTTAGCAGCCCAACACGTAACCACAGATGGCAAATCGTGTGTGCCACCTAGGCTCTGGCAATATTAATATCCTTTATTGTTAAAGTAGAGCCATAAACCCTTGTTTTGAGAATTAATCAACTTGAGCCCTGGAGGGGCAACAGTGCTTGACTGCTGACTATAAGGTTGGTGGTTCAAACCCACCCAGAGACTCCAAGGCAAAATGACCTGACTGACAGCCTGCTCCTGATAGTCTATAACACCCTATGGGGTGATAGTCTAAACTTATAGTCTATAAAGCTAATAGTCTATAACACCCTATGGGGGATTTCTACTTTGTTACTATGCAACTCACAGGGTTGCTAGGAGTTGAAAATCTACTTGATGGTACCTACAACAGCTACCACAGAGTCTATTCTAATCAGAGCAGCCCTAGAGGACAGAGTGAAACAGGGTGTCCGAAGCTATAGATCTTTCTGGAAGCTGACGACCACACTTTCTGCCATGGAGCAGCTGGTGAGTTCAAACCACCAATCTTTTGGTTAGCAGCCAAGCTCTTAACAACTGTACCACCAGGACACCCAACAACAACAAAGGGAAGCAGAACCATCACAGCCGCATAGGGGGGGGTCACATTTGCACAGATTGGGGGGGGGTCACAGATGCACAGA